AACTTATTCCTTGACCTTCCTTTTTGTTTCTCTTCCTCTTCTCACCGTAATTGCTTGGGTAGGTATTTGACGGCCATTTCTAACTTTTACGTCCACACTTGGTTCACCACCAAATTAGTATAAATTATGTATTTTGCTATGCAACGGTTGATTTTACTCGCTCAATTATTGTTTTTTCTATTCATATCTAATATTAAGTTTGCATTTTATTTTGATCATCATAATTAAAAATTAACAATAATATTTGATACATGCACCAGAGTCCATAATACATGCTTCTTTGGACTATTGTTTCTACTCGAACCTTTAGAATAACAAAGTCTCGAAGATTCAAAGCATATCTATTCGGTAAACATAATGTGAATAAATCATTAAACGATTCTAATGTTGCTCCCTTTAATGTTTCAGTTTCGAGGTCGAATCTTTTTGAAGAAAGGGAGGATGATACATGCATCACATGGCTCACATCAAAGGAAGAAGTAATAACTCTTCCAAATGATCAACTCTTCCAAGCATTGGAAAAGAAGACCAGAACAGTATTAGACTTGCGATGACTTTTTGAATGGGATCCTAATCGTATTTGGTCAATATGTCTTCTGGAAATACAACTATCTGTCTCTTAGCTTTCCAACGGTTCTTGAATCGCATCAATCCGATATTGGAAACTCAAGATACGTCCGTTTTAGTGAAGACATCACATTCAGAAATTCCTATGCGAGATTAATACATGATTTTGTAAATATTACGAATTTTCAATATTTATATTGATTATTTATAATGTAATTTAATATAGGATGATGCATTATCTTTTAGGATTAGATTTATTATTTTATTTGGAATTAAGTTTGAGTTAAAACATTTTTTTAGTTATAATTATTTTATTAGGAATTAGAGTTAAAACATGTTTAGTTTGTTATTATTTTATTCATTAGTTATTTAAGACCTTTAGAATGCAGCCCCTATATAAAGGAGACTTCATTCAACTTTGTAAACAAATTTCTTTGATTAATAATACAACGAGAGTTCCTTTTTGCAAGTGTTGTTTGCCTTGTGCCTTCGAAGCTTTTTCTCCTGGAGTTCTTTTAAGTTATATTGAGGGAGATTAATCTTCACACTCTAATTTGCCTTTTCATCACGACTAGGAGGGTTAGTTAGAGCCATATTATCAAGTTTGTCTTTTCATTGCGACTAGGAGGGTTCTATAGGACACTTAGAGCCATATTATTGAGTTTGCCTTTTCATTGCGACTAGGAGGGTTCAATATAACACTTATCCATCTATTTTCCACAAATCCATCCTCACCATCATCATCTTTACCGTTCACCTTCATAAGGGAGCCACCTCTACTATTCATCCCCTTTGTTATTCATCGAGTCTAGAGCTTTCTAGGTTTGATTCTTCAACAAGAGCAACGTTCATTAACCCGCCACTGCTTCCCTATCAACATTGATATGACATTTTTTTATTTATTTTTAATAATGACTTGACATTATCTTATAGCACTTATCTCATCACCCAATATTAAGGGTGAGCAAAAATCGACTAAACTCGAAAAATCAAATCTTTTTTTCCAATTTCGAGTTATTCGACTTTAATTATTCGAGTCAACTTGAATTTTTGATTCGATTTTCGAGTTCGAGTCGAGTTGAAATTTGAAAATTTCTAGCTACTCGAAAAACAAAAAACTTGATTAAGTGTTTTGACAATTTTTTTATTTAGTCAATGATTTCATTATTCATTCAATTCCTCCTATATTTTAAGTCTATTTTTATCAAATTTGAACCACATGCTCGTAGAATACATATGTACTTTCAATTCCTCTTTTTGATAACAAGTTTTCTAATTTTTAATTTAGTCCCTCAATTTTTCATAATTTCTTCAATTTATCATTTATTTTAAGTTCATTTTTTACTAATTTTTAACCACAATCCCATATACCACTATAGAATACGTATGTAACTTCAATTCTTTTTTTTTACTAAAAATGTACTCTCTCTTTTTATTTAGTCCATTAACTCTGTATTTTACTCAATTTGGTTTTTTTTATTGTAATTATTTGTAAATTCTTTTTTTCCATCAATTCCTTGAACTTATATGGTTAGAGAAAGTCGAAAAAATGGAATAAATCCTTTCCATAAGACTATAAATAATTATAATAAAATTAGTATATAAGCTCGAATAACTCAACTCGAAAAAAATTCAAGTTAAATTCAAATTATAAAATATGACTTGTCAACTCGATCAAATGCTTAACCCAACTCACGGCGAGTCTAATTTTACCTTTATCCTCGTCCATGTATCTATCCACATTTAACGGGGTGTAAAATAAAACTTATCTAAGAAAATCTATTTTATATATATTTCTAATTATACAAAAAACGATTTATCTGTAGTTATATTTTAATAAAAAATGTGTGATACAAACCACACTTTTATTCGGGTTCGATATTACAAATCACCTTTGCTTTTTTTTGTCAATATATGACGTAATATAGTAGAAAAAAAATCAAGAGCATAGCATAGTGTTTGATGAAAAATAAAGTATATAAGCGTGCGAAAATAGGTTGAGAATTGAGATCCATGCAAAATAAGGGAAACTAAACCTGATGTAGTCACGAACGGGCATGGGATCCAAACCCGATGATTCTGATCCGATCGGGTTGGGTCTTTTTCAAAAAAAAAATTGAGTCGATTCGGGTCGGTTTTTTAAAAGTGATATTCGGGTCGGGTCGGATTCGAGTTTAGGGTGAAAAATACTCTACCCGACCGACCCAGAAAAAAATATAATTTTACCTTATATATTTAGGATTAATTACAATAATACCCCTCTATATATTAATTTTTCAATTAAATCATTATTTCTATTGAATAAAAATAATTTTTTATTATTTCGAGTCAGATCAAATCAGGTTTGGATTTTATCATAAAAAATCGAGTCGGATTCGAGTCGGGTGGAGGGTATATATTTTCGGGTCGGGTCTAATCAGATGAAGGATGTAAAAATTTTAGGTCGGATTGAGTTGGCCGAAACCCGAACCATGCCCATCCCTAGTTGTAGCCTTGAAAATTCAAATGCTGAAGATAGAGTTGGTTTGTAAAAACCCTAAGCATGCCGTTTATATGTTTGCTAATTTGCTTATTTAGTTGTCTAGTATATGCTCTTCTAAAATGGGAAAATTATATCATTAGCACTTAAACTCTTTAAACTTCATAAATTAAACTCCTAGTTTGACCATGTATCAATGAAGTTTCTATATTCATCAATATTCAAAATGTAAATAAATAAAAAGTATATAAACTTATAAATGAGTTTGTGAACATAAATGAAGAGTAAATAAAAGATCTCATGAATGAATTTGTTCGTGGACACAAACGAATCAAAACACATTTATTTGTATTTTTCGTTTGTGTTTGCTCGTCTATTAAACAAACATAAAATTTTTGTTAACTCATTTATTTAACTGAACAAACAAACATGAAAAAATATTATAAATTAGCTTTTCCAAGAATATTTAGTCTTGCAGTTATCAAAAGTGGAAAGATTAAAGATTTCGGTTGTAGGGTCCTTGATAGTTGGGAATGGAGGATTGAATTGAGAAGAGTTTTCTTTGAATGGGAAAAGTCTATTTGGAACGAATTCATCCAGGTTTTAAATAGAGCGGTTAGAGTCAATCAAGGTCGTGGTAAGGTAATTTGGGTTGATTCGTCAGATGGTTTATATAACCCAAAAGCTTTCTGTTATAAAGTGTCCTGTGATGACTTAATGGAAGACCTGGTGTGGAGATTCATTTGGTTTAAGTTTGTTCCTCCTAAAGTCTCTGTCTTTGTCATTGTTCCGTAGTTTGGAATGCGTGGCAAAGATGGTGCAATGTGTGGAATGTTAATTTCGTATTTCCTAAGAACGTTAAATTGCTTATTGAGATTTGGTTCGCGCAAAGGGTTAGAACGAGTGTAAAGCCGCTGTGGCGTCTGGGATTCTTCGGTTTGATTTGGACAGTTTGGATCTGCAGAAATCTTACCAGATTTAATGGGGCTTCTTTTACGGCGGATCAGATATTTTTCAAAGCTTTACTGCTGATTGGAATTTGGGCGAATTATTTATGGCCGAGGTCGTATCCTGTGGTGTTGGACTTTGTTTGAAATCCGACAGCTTTTGCCCGTGGTTTCTGTTAATGGCTTTCCTGCTGCTGCCTTTCTTCTACTTTTTTCTGCTATTCGTTTTAACGTTGGTCTGCCAGTTTCGATTCAGTTTGGTTTCAATTTGCTTTCATTTGCATGATTCATGTTGCTATTATTTGTTCTAGTTTCGGCGCCTCTGTATGTTCAGCGTTGTACAGTGCTGATATTATGGAGTGTGTTCACTGCCATGATATCCATTTCTGCTGCCATTTTACAGCCTGTTATTAGCATTCACTCCACTCCATGGTGCACTCTTTTTTCTTCGATTAGGCTTAGGGAGGTTTTTTATCGAGGTTCTTGGATTACTTTGTAATTTCATCAATACAAAGTACCTTTTACAAAAAAATAAAAAACTGTTAACGAACAATTTATCGGAGCGTTGAGTTCATTTAAAGCCGTGTAAGGGAAAGAGAGACGGATATAGCTTTAAATTGGAAGGAACGGATCACATAATTTGATTCCACTTGAGCACATTGTGGCGGGAAAATGTCGTACATTCTCCCTTGCCACTTTTTTACTCGTTTATGAACCCTAACTCTTACTCCTATCCCAATTTCTCTATTACCAAATGTTGTTCCGTTTATCATTCACGCCCTCAACTGGAATCTAATTCGGTAATCGAGAATCTAATACCTTATCAAACGGTTTAACCTCTGTTATTTGAAACTGAAAAGTTAATCTTTTTCGATGTTAGGGTTTCCTGTTATGGGGTGCGCCGTTCCTTTTCAAAAAAACGTTATGCTAAAATTTTCTATTTTTAACATTGGATTTCAAGTTGGAGTACCGGTGAATTTTTTTTAAGATCCTGGTGTTATGGTAAAATGATTGCCGAGTTCGACGATGATGGCGAACAGACAGTGTCAATCAATGAGTATCTCCAGAGCATCGAAGAAGAAGAGCAGGTAAAAACCTTATTTGAGTTATATATCCTGTTGGGCAATATTTAATTTGTTACCTTTTCAATCTACAGGAGGCGGTTTGGTTTTGGGCGGAGATGAAGGTGATGAGTGTACCTATTCTAAAGGTTACATGAAGAGACAGGCAATTTTCTCATGCCTCACATTCACTCCTGATGGGAATGCCGGAATATGCACTGCTTGTTGCTTGTCTTGCCATGACGGACATGAGGTATTTTCCTTTGCATTACCCTTTTTGGCGTGTGGGAAACACCTTCACTTATTTTGTTCTTTCTTTCTAGATGCTAAACTTTAACTTGTTGCTAATACCATACAACTCTTAAGAAGATGCTGAATCACTATTTTATTCAAGTGGAATTTACTCTGAGCATTTGCTTCCCGCTGACGGTGACTTTTCAGTTGTGTTTTATAGTTTCCACTTTCTGGATCTTGCTTACTGTATGTCTGTTTCAGGCTGGTTTAGTAAGTCATGTTATTACTAAATATAAGAATGTGTTCCCATTGTCTACCAATACCTTTTTTCCCCTTTACTCCTTTCTAGTTGGAATAACTTCCTTTTTGGTTGTCGCTGCTGATTGGCATTAATTGCATTCTTCCAATAACTAACTCTATTCATATCATTTACCCATTCACCTGCTTCTTTGGAACAATAACGGGACATTATCATTATTAGTTTTTAATGTTTTATAATGGAATAAATGATGGATTGGTTTAAGAATGCTTGTCTGGTTCAAATGTGGGAAACATAAGGTTTCATTCTTAAAGATCCCATTGCTATTTGAAACTTGGCATGCTTACTTGAGTACTGAATAAAGTTATATTTGCTGGGTTGCATTTGAAACTGCACATGCTTACTTGAGCATGAGATTCACGTTATGCATGTTAGGAGTTTATATTTACAAAAGATTGTCACTAAGCATGTGCTTCCTTATTTTGAGTGTTCTTTGTATAAACATCATATCCTATTATATCTGCTTGCATGAATGCCTGAGATATTTTTTGGTTGAAATTCAAGATTTTGGAACTCTGGACCAAGAGAAGTTTTAGGTGTGATTGTGGAAATTCCAAATTTGGAGAGTTCTCGTGTAAACTTTTCCCAAATGAGGATGCAGAGAGTAGCGAGAATTCATATAATCACAACTTCAAAGGTGTCTACTGCACCTGCAATCGTCCCTATCCAGATCCAGATCGCCAGGAACAAGAAGAGATGATACAGTGCTGTATGTGTGAGGACTGGTTTCACGAGGAGCATATCTGCCAAAGTTCTCCTGATAAGGTTGGTAAGCTGGATGCATGTCCGACAGTTTCGTATAATGCTTATTCTTCATCAGGGTTTGCCTGATGTCCTTTATAATTACACAGTGTTCTGATTTTGCGGTTAAAACTTAAAATCATTGGCAAATGTACTGCCACTAAGATTTATCTATACCATTAGGGGTCGGTTGATCCTTCGAAGGCAATAACAGAAGCTGTTGTGAACCAGATTTTCGAGAACCTTAAAAACAAAAAAGGCGGCGTGTGTAGTAAGTAGGCTATCTCTTTATCAGTTGGATATGCAGTTGATGAGGAAAAGAAATGCTATGCAAATATTTAGGTTGTTTCAAGTTAGAACGCTGTAATGTTACTTTTGAACCATTTTGCGGGTTGTTATTAATGACTTGTATTAAGTAATTGTGTTTCTGTATTTGCTAAAGTTCTGCTATGGGTTCATAATACGTGTGCTTCGTTTAACCATGGTTTTCAGAATCGGATCGGTTAGCGAACCGGCCATGCTATCGGTTCACTGGTTCAACCGGTCGAACCAGTTCGACCGGTCAGAAGAACCGGACGACGTCATAATTATTTAAAAAATTAAATAAAAATACTAAAAATATTTAATAAAAAATAATTTTTTATATCACAAGTCATATTCAAAGCAAGTCATAACATATATAAGTTAAAAACCATAAAATCAAGTAAAACAAAATGATTCAAATTAACTACAACATAATAATTAAGGTAAAACATATTAAATAATAAATATAATTATATATAACTATAATTAAAAAATAAATTTGGGGCTAAAAAAATCATAACAAAATGATATTGTTTGGTTTAATTTAAAAACAACAATCTCACATGGCTAAGAAACATATAAGATCATCCCAAAAGTCTAAAGACTATAAATATGAAAACAAAACAATCTCACATGGCTAAGAAACATAGAAGAGCATCACAACTAACTTTTATAAATAATAGAGTTAATTTGACATTCAAAATCATGGAGCCTTTTGGTGAGCATTGAATGAACTATTCTTTCACTTCAATCAAGCTCGAATTTTAGACTTCAATCTAGCTTCTAAATTTTTTTTGAGTTCAAGTTTCAATATTATATTTCGAGTTTGAGTTGAACTAGATAATTTTTAACTCTTGAGTTTGAGTCAAGTTGAGTTTACTTTTAAAGTTTTCAAGTTCGAGTCGAGCTCAACAATACTTGAGTTCGACTTGGCTCGTTTAACAAATGACGTCGTTTGATTTAATTTTTTTTTAAAAAAATAAACAAAATTGGCGGTTTTTTTCTGGTTTTTTCTGGTTTTCAGCCGGTCAGATTCGAACGGTTCAGCGGTTCTGACCGGTTCACTAGTAGCGGTTCAACCGGTGTAGATTGAATCGGACTAGGAAACGGTTCCCGGTTGAACCGGCTGGTCCGGTCCGGTTTTCAAAACACTGCGTTTAACTCGCACTCTAGTCTTATTATTATTTAAAGCATTGAATTTACAAGTTAATGTGATGTTTTAATTGGAGAAATATTTGAAAAGTCAATTTAAAGGTATAATAGATAGAAAATGATACCATTTAATTTATGAAAAGTGGTAGGGAGTTGTGATTTAAAGTCCCCTCTTGGCCTTCCCAACTATGCTAAAGACTTTGATTCAGTCTTTTCAACGTTTGACGCGGTCTTACTAAAGGCTTCCTAATTTTGTCTGCTTTCATCAAAACAAACCTAAATTTGTCTGCAGAAGTTAAGCCCTCTAGTCCCTACCCAAATCAACTTCAACGGTATCGTGACGTGTTGAATTCGCTGCATCTACCTCTTAATCAACGACATGTTCCATCTCTGCATTTTGCTTAATTATTAACCTATATCAATTTTACCTCCAAATTGCATTCGTGCATTTAATATTTGATTTAGAAAGGAAAAAAAAATTATAGTTGATGCTTTTGTGAGAACGGAAGAACGGTAATAAGTTAAAGACAGAGATAAGTAGTCGAGAAGATTTAAATCCTGGGATAGAGAAAGGGGTTAAAGTCCCTCTTCACTTTTGCATGGGATTTATATAGGCTTTGAGGGATGATGCAAGACATAGTGATGACTATTTTTAAATGGATAAAATGAATCGATATAACCACAATATAATAGATTTAATCGTGGATAGAAAATACGTATCTCAAAAGATATGATTTGCGGAAGAGATCTATAATAATATTTATACCATTTTTTTATATATAAAATGTCATATATATTCATATAAAATTTAACACGTTGATAATTTAAATTTATATAAATTAATTAAAATATTTTAATTTAAACTATCTTGCAAACAAACTGTAGAATACATAAATTTTCTCCATATATTTTGGAAAAGGGGCTGTTTTTTCAAAGAGATATAAGCGTTTTCCTGCATGAAATTATGGACTAACGGTGAAGATGAAGAGTTATGATAATAAGAGAGAAAAAAGAGAGAGGAAATTCTTAGTTGAAAACGAAAGCTCCATTCAAATACAAGAATATTCAATACATGCAAAACATTAACAGAAGAGAGGGAAAAAAAGGAAATTTCTCCATCATAGAAAATGATCAATCGGATAAAATCAACAAGTCAAGCCATCGGTGGCCATACTTGGAAGGGGATTTCAGTTAAATGTATCTTATTAGGACATGTTATTCATTCCTATAATTTTATCATGTCATTGTATGTAAAATTATGGCTTATATATAGAATAAGTCGTTTTTAGTTATATCTAAGAACCAAACGAGTTATTGCTTTGAATTATGAATAAAGTGAATTGTTATTTAAAATATTATTAATAAATTCTTGAAATCACCTTAAAAAATTAGAACTTTTCACGATCTTTTAAATAATGACTCATTTGATCTATGATTTTGTAAGTAAAAACTTATTTGATTACGATCTTCTTATATAAGGACTCATTCGATTAGTGATTCAAACTAGGAGTTCATTTGGTTTTCAGTTCTAATTATAGGGATTTATTTTATTTGAAGCCTAAAATTAGAAACCCTTCTAATTGGACCCAAAAATAAGTTTTTATTTGAAAAATCTCGACCAAATTTACCTTAAAATGATTTTATACATCGAAATCACTCATTCATATTTCTTAAATAATGGCTCATTTGATCTATGCCTTTTAAATAAAGACTCATTTTGATTTTTAATTAGGGACTTACTTGATATTGGATCCATGATTCAAACCAGTATTGGATCCAATTAAAGAGATTAATTTGATTAATCTATTTTGATAAGCTTGAGTGCCTTATTCATCCACATCCCCAGGATTCCAACAGATCAACGGTGCATATGAATTTGGTCACTACTTTTTAAGAGGCAGGAAGATGAACGTTGGATGTTTCCAACTTTCTACTATTTTGGTATTTTACATTACTGGCTCTCCAATTACATCAAAACTAATATCTTCATAAAAAACCCCATAAAACTGAAATTATATTCTCTTAATCTAACCCAGAAAACTGAAATTAACATTCTTTTAATCTAACACTCTTCAGGGATACTATGAAGCAATGAATTAGTAGCAGGGGAAGTGGATAGAACAGTCACACGATTCATTGGTAGTTTCACAAGCTCAGAAGCCACGTCTTTGAATTCAATAATCCCTCCATCTTTACACTTTGAAAGCAATCGAGCAGCTTCTTCCTTTGTCATCTTCACTTTTACTCTCACTCTACTCATCTTTCGATCCTTCTCATCATCCTTAACTGTTACCAATGGCTTCTTCTTGCTCAACTCATCTCTGTATATCAACTTTGATGAACTCTTGGATGCTCCAAACTCAATGATTTCGCCAGACAAAAGTTTACCGAAACATGAAGCAATAAAGGCAAGCATCTTTGAGGGGCAAACAATCTAAAAAGAGGGTCTTTGTTTTTTTTTTCTTTTACACTTTTTTTGTACTGATAAAGCAATGTTTGGTGAGTTTATATAGAAAGAAGGCTAGGAGGATTGGTAAGTGGAGTGTGTTTTTGGCAAAGTGCACGAATTTGGAACATTGAAACTCACTCTTGCTTGAGTCATATGGATTTGGAATTTAGCCCTGAAAAGGATGTCAAATGGTTGGGTCCCCCTATGCAGGCCACACTGAGGGCAAGAATCAGCAACACCAAGTTGCATGCATGATGGCATTGCTTCCTCTGTTACTTTTCTTTAATATTTTACCCATCTTTTCTGCAGTGTTTGTGTGAAGTTGAGGTCCTCAGGATCATACTTGAGGTGATAAATTAACCAGAGATACACGATAAATGCAGACTTAAATTATATGAATGTACACACAACTAATAAGCCCTTATTTACCCATTTGTCTGTTAAATCAAGATACATAGAATAATAATTTATATGAAATACAGTTAGCAACACAATGTGATTTAACATAAGCCATACACACACCTATTCAATACAATTAATCTATTTTTTTTTTTTTAATTTTTGGAGGTTAAAAGGTAAAGGCGTGACCCTGCCACTTCATCAATGACATATTTCTAAGAAAAATAAATAAATTTCAATAATTACAAATGTAGAAAAGGATGATGCAAAGATGAGGACAAGTGACTTGGTCTTGCTATTGGATGTGCTTAAAGTTAAGAACTCGGGTACCGTGGCCAAGTCAATGCCGTTTGGTTTAGGGACTAAACATGGGCATCATTATTCCAAATCAATCTATTTTGGTTTTGCACTATTTCTGCTTTCAAGATGGGAGCTACTTGGCATAGTGTTTTAAAAATCGGATCGGATCAACTGGTTCAACCGGTTCAACTGAGAATCGCTGTCTGGTTCGGTTCATTCTACACCGGTTAAACCGCTACTAGTGAACCGAAATGAACCATTGAACCAGCTGTGAACCGTTGAACCGGACCGGACCGTGAACCGGTTGAAAACCGGTTTTGTTTTTTTTTTCTAAAAAAAATTAAATCAAACAACGTCGTTTGTTAAACGAGCCGAGTCGAACTCGAAAACTTTAAAAGTAAGCTCAACTCGACTCAAAAACTCACGAGCTAAAAATTATCAAGTTCAACTCGAACTTGAAATATAATATTGAAACTTGAACTCAAAA